AAAAAAAAAAACAAACAAACTGTATGAAGCGCGGGGAAACCCGACCGATCACAGCTCACTGCAAAGCATAACCAAGGAAGTCCCAGATGACTTCGTCACCCATTTTAAATCTGCTCTGATATTTGTATTTTCTTCTCTAGAAAAATCGATGACATATGAATGGGAACTATTCTTGCCTCGTTTCCCCGCATTTTGTCGTTTTTGTTGTTTGTTTGTTTGTTTTTTGTTTGTTTGTGTGTGTGTGTGTGTGTGTGTGTGTGTGTGTGTGTTAAGGGTGTCCCCCCCAGGCCTCGCCCCTAGATCTGCCACTGATGTACCTTAGCATAATTATTTGCATTGCGGTGGGAGTTCACTTTCAGTCAAAGCTAAAGTTTGTTTAGACTTCTTGTTCTAAAATGGTTCCCATGATAGTCAAACTGCAAAGATTAATTACTCTCTTTTCATCAAATGTCTATTTTAATGTTATCTTTTTACAGTGATGATGATGAAGATACAGGTACTGCAAAGCGAAAACATCTACAGAAGTTTATTTTCTCTGCAACGTTAACTCTTCCAAAGTCATTCAAGAAGAAAGGGAAAGAAATGAAGATCACAGGTGAAGAAGGCTTAGGTACATCACGGCTTATAGCACAACCCAGAGATCCTGTAACATCATCTTATTTTATTAACTATCACTCAAACTATGAAATGGGCCAAGGTGTCCATAATTTTGTTCCCGAAAGAGTCTTCCCGTGTCTTGCAGCTTTATGTTGTTATCTAACATCAGAGGAATCGTTTTAACTGTCTTGAGTTATTTTGTCAACAACTATGTTCTTTGTATTTTAAAATTTCAGTGTTACTGATGGACAAAGTTGGGCTGCAGAAAAACAGTTGTAAAATTATCGATGTCACCAACAAGAGAGGAACGGTAGAAACCCTGACAGAAGCAAAGATTTCATGTTCAATTGAAGAGAAGGTTTGAACGATTTAAGATTCAATTGTTATTACTTTTTATTTTGCTTTTGGAACAAAATAATTCATCTATATCACATTTTTAAGGAAGCAGAGTTATTACTTCACAGAGGTGTGCCAAAATAAAATCAAAGGAGAACTACTAAACATACAGTTGTTGTAAAAACCACTTCATTGAGGTTTATTTCAAATCTTCTTTCCAGGACCTGTACCTGTATTATTTCCTATCACGGTACCCAGGTCGCACTTTGGTTTTCTCCAACACTGTGGACTGCGTGAGGAGACTGGGCTCATTGTTTAGGCTACTGGACTTTGACCCGTGGGTTCTGCACGCCAGCATGCAGCAAAGGCAAAGATTAAAGAATTTAGACAGGTCAGAAAAAAACGGATTTAAATAGGTAAAAAAAGAAACAAACGAAACAAAATCCTGATTTGTTCTATTATTATTATTATTATTATTAAATTTAAATTTATACCGCGCAGTTTCTATAAAAATATTCAACTGCGCCTTACAATAAATATTAAATCAAAAATAAAATAGAGGTTCAAAATTACAATTACAATTACAATTCTAAAATTCCATAAATAACTAAATAAAATAATTCATCA